TTTGGTAAGAAAGCGCCAGTCAAAGCGCGAAATATAAGGTCGAACCAAAAACACTTGCACCATATGCTAAACGGCAGTATGAATGCAAAAAAACTGTGCAAAGTACTACTCGATAGAGCAAAGCTTGCGCAACATGCGACATCTACACTTTTGTAAAAATCTCGAGTTCTGTGAAGTTTGAAGCCAAAGTCATCTAGATGCAAAAATATCCTCTGTTCTGGGAAAAATGCTACAAAACTTCGACTTGTTAAGCATGCGCTCCCCAACTTGAAATTGTAGTACTACACTTGCTTTTGTATTTGCAGGGCTAAGGTTGAGAAACATAATCAGGCCAAAATGCAAGATATTGCCCTTTTCTGGCTTTTCAGCAGAAATTGGTATTCCTCAAAAGCCAGCACTTGTTGACGGTTAAAAACCTGTATTCACTCTTTCAAAGGTTTAGAGTGTAAAACTACAGTGTGGGAACACCCTGCGCTGTTTTGGCGAAAGCATGCCAATTTTCGTCTTCTCGTCTTCCATCAGTGAAATTTTACATTTATAATAAGTAAACAGTTGATTTTGTTCGCAGACTTCAAAGGGTAAAACTTTTCACCAAATTTAGATGCTAATTTGCAGATCCTGCTTAGCATTATCAAAGAGTACCCCGCTCAGTTTTCTCTAAAATCAAACATTTGATGATCAAAGGCTTTGATTCAGACTAACACTTCATACTCTTACTTCCAGCTGTACCATATCAAACAGGCGCAGAAGTGATTATGCAATGGATTCGCACTGGCTACCTAACTGCTCACTTTAACTTTGTTAGAATAAAAGTGGAGATAACATAGTCGAGAACTTCCGTGATTCCTATTTCCTTATCCTTTGCAAAATTTTACTCCTCACGTAGATGTCTTGCAAATAGACCAAACGAGACACTTTATTGCCTTTTTTCGCATTCTTTTGACCACGTGCGCAATTGCCTGAAAAAGTCCGCGATCATAACAGTGTATATTGGTGACATTCTGTCATTTTTCATAGCATGTGACTACTTCGCCTTTTCGCCGTTGAAACTTCTTATCTAGGATTGTACGCTAAAAAATTGTACGTATACAAGTCTGGTCGTGACTGAGGATACTGTAAGGACAGAGAACTAGCATTACCGTATTTTGTAGCAACACATATCATGAATGTTAAGTAACCAAACTACTTGAGATATGTTCATGGATGTTCATCCTTAAGATTTTACGTGAACAACGAACATCATTGCTGAAATGTTTATCTAAATCAGGCACTCAAAACTGTGCATATATCTTCTCTCTATGTCGCACATGACTTTGTCTCCTTCTGAAAGTTTTCGTAGCTACCACAGCTTTCTTATGCGCTCCAATATTTGGAGGGGAAGAGAATTTGAGGGCAAGATTGAAAGTCTCTGAAAGCCGAATTGAAAGCATATATTTCTTGCACTCTTCAGTAATCCAATACCTCAAAAATTCATATCGAATGTCCACTTACATTATGCCATTGCCAATGCTTACCAGTTTTTCTTATGCAGCAATTTTGTGACGTGGGGATTCAGCATTATGTTTAATTTGACCGATGGCAGGTAATGAAGCAATTCTATAGTTTGTTTGTGTTCTTTCAAAGAACGATCAGGCTTTTGAATTAACGGTCTTTGCTTAAAGACAATTGTACCATCATTATGGATTTTTTGAAATTAGAGAAGTACCAAAGACAAACTATTCAAAGCTAATACCATTCACGCAGTAGTGACTTTGAGAGTGTTAACTTTTAACTCATAATCAATCGAGGTACTTCTGCAAATTCTCTGCAATACCCTTGCAGAAACTGCGCGCTCTAGGATTACAAGGTACAGAAGATTACAAGGTACAGAAGTGAGGCAACGAGAAAGCAAGTTACAATCACAGTTACAAGATCTACGTTATGCTACATAGCTCATTTATAAAGGATTAAACAAATCAGAAAACGAATAGTTCTTCCATTTCCAGAACGTCGATTTTACGAAAAAAAGGAAGCGGATCGATGTGTCTATGGGTGAGCCAGACTTCGCGGAAAAGCGGCGTACGCGGCGTACGCAGCGTACACTCGGTATATTTCATCATAGGAGCATACGCGGCGTACGCTGCGTACGTCGCGTACGCCGCGCAGTCTGGCCCAACCCATAAACGCACATCCACGTGAGTGTTGTAAGCAGGTTTACGCTTAACAAGAATGGGACTGAATCTGTTGCAGGCTTGTTAGTAATTCAGCCTTCTGAGCCCTGAGCTGTTGGGAATTCTATGTTGCAACTTTGACCGAATAACCGAATGAAAACAGATCACTTTTGCATATTATAACTTTAACTCTGGAAGGTAGCAAAACGCAGATAATATAGCAACATGCGACACCAATCCTTCCTGACTACCATCTTCCCATTTTTTCCAGTCACGTATTATTTTGCGCTTTTATTAAAGACGATTCCAATTTTAGAACTTTTGATGGATGTCGGCAGAAAAGGGGTTTTTCATCGTCAGCAGAACCTAATTGGGCACGATCTTTTTGTTCTGAGACTATCTCTCACGCAATTTTGATCGATTATCTCGTTCTACAACCAGGCTGTTTAATTTTGGATTTGAGCGCTCCTTAGTCTTTTGTATCGGATTCATTCTTTTTTGCTACATAGCCCATTTGATATCAGTTTACAAAAAATGCAGTCAAACTCTGATCGGCACTAGCCATTTCGCAGTACATTAAGATTAAATCACGAGGTGCTCGGTCTGCAAACGAGCAAAAGAAACGTCTATCGGTGTTAGCGATTGCCTTTAATGGCCATCACACATTCACTTATCAACGATCACCTTATGGCATCACATCACATGCATCTTTCAGCGCGGACACGGTACATTCCTGGTCCAGAAGTTCTATCCAGGATTTGTTTTGAATCGCAGTTATGTAGCAGGCGCTTTTAACTTTGAGTTTTTTTTTGTTGAACATCAAATCTAGTGCCAACTTTGGTTCGCGACTCTAATTGTTGCTTCGAATTAGTACTTCAATTAATTGCCATACAACTTTGGACAAATGCTGCAAAGTTTGCCTCTGTTCTATTCCTTGCCTGTAATTGGCTTAAATTTATCTCTTCCCAGACTAATCCAAGCGTATGCCTTGTTTGTTTGCTTCAGATTCAGTTCCGCCTTCAAACAAAGTATTAGGGGACAACTGTAACAAACAACCATACTTGTTTGAATAATCTTTAAATTCTGAGTATTCTAAGTTGATGATGCTTCCAAACATGCTGTTATCATGACGACTTGCAACTTTTCGTGTTGAAAGCAACCCAGGCATTTCCTCTTGTTGATTTCCTTGACTTCTTCAAATTACTAGTAGGTTTATAGCCTTCTAGATGTACATGCCCAATCCATATTGAATAGTGACGCATCGAAAAGACAAGAAATGATAGAAGAAAGAAAAAGAAAAATATAAATTATTAAGCAAGCTATGTTTACCAATGGGCGCCGTAGCATTCAGCATACAAAAGATGCAGCCTTTGTAACCTTGATTGAACAAGAAAGCTGTAGTTTTCAAATAAAAATAGGCATTCGTGTAATCTTTACCTTACCTATTTATATCTGAGCGGGGCAGAAGTGACTGACCAAACTCATAGAGTCACTAGCTTATTTGGTACCTATGATGAGTTATCTGAAAGAACTCAGCTTATACTTTTTCCCCGTAGGTTGAGTAATGTTAAGCCACCCGCCCAAGAAATTCTTCGTTTTTTTTTTTCACTATTTTGTGCAAGTATGAGTTCTCACTGAAGTAACGTATCTGAAGCTGTGCTTAGAGGATTTTTAGTAACGTCCTTGTGATCTCACATTTTTTCTTGCTAACTGATTCTAAGGCCAAAAGCACAAAGGGGCTTTGACTCACTATCTTTCATTAATAGGTAGTAACTGGTAGGAAAAAAGAATGGAGATTCGAGGATTGAATATAACTTCAGATAATATTTACTACTCAGAGAGCCATTACATGGCATCTTGCTTCACCGTAAATGAAGATAGCGCTTCTTTATGTGCAAATCACTAATTCTTTAAATTTTGATGAATGCTCTGCCATGCAAATCGCTCATATCACACTGTTCTAACTGTACGGTCCAATTCGACGATACAGCACATGAGACCAACAGAGTTCCACCATTTGACAAAACAGCGCCTCTCTGACATGGCTGCTTGATACTGGTCATGTTCGTAGTGTCAGATCATGATGGCCGCTATTACTAAACATGACGCATATTTTGCCGCTGGTGCTACACAAAACCAGAAAAACAATCTCTTGTGTTAGCAGCATAGGAAAAGTTAACGCATATTCACTTTTTATTACTCTATTATTCTTCTTCTCTAATACGACAAATGTAGAGTACTTGTGAAATTCTTTTTGTTTAGTACTGTTTAGTACTCTTGCATAACTAAAAGGAAATGTTGTGAGACTTTATGGCCTGCTGGTAGTCTTGCACAGCTATATTTGATATCTGATTCAGATGTCCCTCTTACTGCTCATTCACCTGTTAGGAAACCTTTCAAGAGATTGCAAACCTTTAGGGTTGAGCTAGAATGCGCATCGTATGCAGCGTATGGACGCGTGCTTGAAACTATGCGCACTCGGCGTACATCGCGTACGCCGCGCAGTCTGGTCCAAACCTTAGCTTCAAATTTTTTTAAAAATTTTTGAACAATGTTGCGTCATGGAAGTAGTAGTTTAACCAACTATACGCGCACACGGTTTGCTTTTCTAAATACTTTACGCCTTTCAAAACTGGACAGTGCACACATTCACAAGCAGCGTGTCAATGAAAACGGGAAGAACTTCCAGAATGATCTAACTGCTCTCGTCACATGGATACTACCCATACTATTCACTTGGTATTTATTTTTCTCTCATCTGGATTCTTTCTTCCGCATCACATTTCGAAGTCTGTAGAGACCTCACTAGCATTCGATCGCTTATTTTCCCGAATTTGAATGCAATTTATCATGCTTGATCTATTCCAAGCAGAAACTGCCACTGGTGTTTTGCGATACGCTACTAAAAGGCTGCAACACTTCTTTGCTTCGACTTCATGGAGAAAAAAGCAATCTTTTCATGCAATCTTTATGCCAGTCCCAAGATGTAACGGAGGTTTCTATTTCAACCAACTTTTCCTATCTAGTCTTCCCCTGGAAATGAAAGCAGATCGCCGTCTCCTCCCAAACACAAAAGGAACGGTCAAACGCTTATTCAATAAAGAAGACAACATAATTGAAACGGTGAGTTTATGAAGATCACCACGACAAAATGGATTTCGCACAAATATCCTATGAGGAGATGAACAGTGAACGATTTCTAGTCTCTAAAAGTGAGAAGTATAGCAGTGTATCATTTGCGCTGCGAAAGCTTTGTGCAAAGGCTCATGTAATCGGTTTTACATAAATATTTCAAGATCGACTCTCCATGAATTTGGGATTATCAAGATATTTCTTTTGACTGGTACAGAAACACCAAGATTGTTGAAATATTTTATTCGGCTAACGTTTCGGCCTGTTTGCTATCGTCAGAGCCTGGAAGTGAAAAGTACATGAAATCTTTCCTTCCAAACGCCCTCAATTTGCAGGTTTCACGACAATAAGCTGGACGAATTTTCATGCAATATCAGTCAAAAAGAATATCTACGTAAATTTCGCCCCCTCCACAATTGCTGCTACCCTTGGTCTGCGTCTAAGATCTGCCACGTGTGGCCAACATGTTGGCAATGTGGCAACGACTATTTGCAACATGCTGCAACAAGTTGGTGTAATCAAAATGTCCTGCCAACATGTTGTGGCATGTTACGAACATGTTGTTGCCACGTTGCTTACATGTTAGCCACACGTGGCAGGTTTGAGACGCAGACCAAGGGTAGCAGCAACTGTGGAGGGGAAGATACCTTCGATTTCGCAAGGTGATGCCTCTTTGGTGGAGTTGCGATCATGGAGCTGGGGCTCAAAGCCCAGTATTTGCTGGACTTTTGCTTGAAAGACGTTCTTTTCGGAAGAGCGGTTTTTAGCGCCAACCATATGATTTGTCTCAACACATCACATATGCGGCAGAAGTTTCTTTCCCTGTGCTTTGCTTGGGATTGAGCCAGATTGCCGGCGTACGCACATGTGCCTATAGATATGGAGCTTGCGCTGCTACGCCACCTAGTCTGGTCTAACCCTTAGGCGCAGCAAGTGTATCGTGCGGTCCTGTGTGGAAAGCATTGCGGTCATGCAAATCGCTGTACAGTAAGTTTCAAATAAGTTTAGGCGGAAACTGGACTGGCGGGAGTCCGCTCCGCGATTCGCGCCGCTATGCAGTTTGCGTCTCTTCATTCTAATCTATCTCGCTGAGCCAGTGGCGTTGTAGACGCGCTGCTCCACTTGGAATATTTCGCCTACCCCGGATTGAAGAAGACTGTATATTCGCGCTTTACCTGAAAGAACTGATTGGCATGTTAGATACGTCTATATGCGCGCTACTTACCGTATCATTTGTGCTGTATTTTAAGATCCCATAGAAATATACTGTAGTCGAACACTAGAGAACTGCCGCAAAGAATGCCTACGGTAGTCCCGCTCACAACAACAAATTGTCCCTTGTAAAGATTGGGTAACTGTCCATTTCTTCCCCTCACCTTACAGCTTTGCAGCCTACCTCACAGTAATGAAAGATGGGTACCACGGCTCGGCAAAAGCTGCCACCAAGGAAATTTCGAAACGAAGTCCCCTTTGATCTTGAAAATTACGTACGAAATCCCTTCTGATTTTGAACCCTAGACGTAAAAACCCTTTAGAATACGTCGCAATTTTTGTGTCTTTCCGGCCACAAAAGCGATATCCCTTTTGCTTTTTGTCCCAAAAACGATATCTAGCTTGACCCGTTGCCGGCTGTGCCGAGCCTTGATGGGTACCGTCAAGAGGTTCAGGGTCGCGTATGCATGTAGGCAGATGCCAAACTTCTTGTCGTGTTTTACTGAAAGCTGGCCTCCAGCTTTAGCGAGCTTGTCCTTTACGTCTCTGAAAAATTCCATATAAATATTTGAAAATTCACAAGATCACAAAGTCAATTAAATTACAAGCAACAATTTTCTTCACCAATTATATAGCTCACGTAGGCAACTTAAGGAGTTTCGTGAAAGAATTATTCGCAGCAAAATACAGTATCTCTTCTGCTTTTCTCATTATTCTAATTTATCCCTCAATGTTGCAATTCTGAAATTTAGCGCCCAATAAACGGGTGTAAACCGCATCCTGATGATGTTTTTGTTTATGCGTTCTAAACCAAGACTTTTGGCATGATTGCATGAGACGTTTCTTGCCAACACAATCTGGAGCAGGTCGCTGAGGCAAACAATTACACGTCGCGGGTTACGAGTTTCCTTGAACACCCATTCTGTGGTGACTTCATTTGATGAATTCTACGTACACATAAAATCTCGTCTCCTAAATTTTCATTTTTTATACGAAAGCGCCAACAATGCATATGGGTGCAAAGTCAAATCATTGCGTTTGGCTAGTATTTGGTTTAGATAAGCTAGGTCCATAATTGTTTGTATTGCTGAGGCACAGAACGAAAAAATAGGTGAAGAAAGGAGATGTCCAGAAGTTGCATTTTTTGTGTTTTAATCAGTTTGATGCTAGGCTTGATTGCTTGGCCGAAATCACTTTTTCTGACTTCTCTGAACCAACTATGGCAAGTATTGGGTAGCACTGTTCTTTCTTGTTATTAAACGGAAACCCAATTTGAGACCGTCTCAAAAAATTGGAAAAAGGGGGGGGGGGTGAGGGGGAGTGGAGGAGAGAGCAAATTAGGGAGCGGTGTTGGTCTCCCATGGTACTGTCGTAACATAAGGCCTTTTTTGTACTAAAGCACAAAAGTTTCGTTGGCTTTTTTGAGACATTTTTCTCATCAAGTTACATGCAATGTTGAAGCTTTCTGGCTTTCCATATATGAATTCCACGCGTAAAAAATTTTCTTGTAAAAATTTGTTGATCATCTTGCAAATTTTAATTTACGTTAAACAGCGAAAAAACAAATTGCTTCGTCCGTGGAAGCAAAATGATGCCGATTGATAGCTTGCTCTTTCTCAAATATTTCTGATATCACATAATAACTTTTAGAATTAGATTCTCGTTAGGTTCAAAGTACGTGAAATATTCAGTTTTTGGTTTCTGTAAAACTTTGACCATCTCGGCAAATTGAAACTTGCGCCACAAAAAAACGTTCAAAATGCATCGTCCCTGAGATGAAAATGTTGCCGATTAATAGCTCACAGTCACGTTATCAAATATGCCCAATATTAGTCTTTAAGTACGAGAATTCATTGTATTCTACATATAATGTTATATCACTATTTTATTATTATTATTTTATTATTTTATTATTTTAGATTCAGATATTTTTCTACAAATTTAGTTGTCCTTATGCATCTTTCTAATTCTTATATTGCATTCTTGTAAAGTTTTCCAGAGAAAAAAATTAACGCAAAAGAAGTTCATCTCCTCTACATTAATTTTGAAATACGTAGAACAAATCCCTACAAAGCAGATAGCAGAAGATAAATCTTAAATTACGACATACATTCTTACGATCTCCTCGTAAATAAAAGGGTTCCCATGCTTAGGCTCCACTTAAAGCCTGCTTTTACCTTGTCTGATTGCATCTCTCCTAGCAGCTAATAAGTCTGTTTTCGTTTAGACATAAGATGAGGGATGATCTTAATAGGTGATTTCTCAGTCGGCTCGAATGTGCCGCAAATACAAACACAAAACTTGCATTCATCCTCCCTGCAATACTGGCTTTCCAAATTTTATTTTCGTTTGCAAAAAAAGCAATGAAAAAATAAATGCCCTTGCAGAAATGCAGAGTATGATCACCTTTTTGTAACCTTCTTTCGCAAAACTCTCCAAAAGCTATTTTGGGACCTCTCCACTTTCACAGGACAAATTCTCTTATTCATTAGCTTACCCTTTATAGAGCCCTTGTCATCAAGTGCCCTAGATATCTAGCCCCAAGTGCGTTGTCCTTCACATTTGAGAGTTTTGAAAGGAAACTCGTGATAGCTGGCGACGAGCCAAGAGAAATAATTTTTTATTGCAATTTGCGAGATAACGTTTCAGAGTTCAGAAGTGTGAAACAAAGTAGCTTGAGTGTTCACTGACCTTCTTTTGCGATTTAAGTACAAAAATAGAGTGGAAAACCTTTACGGAACTAGATTCGTAGAAGTTTTTGCAAAGCCTCAAAGAACAATCTCCAAGGCCTATATAATGAATTTGCTCTAGAGCAAAATGAGCGTAGTTCTATTCTGATTTACTGGATTTGTATGAGTATCTGTTAGTGACAGCTCAAAAAACTGAAAGCTTGCTAATTTGAGTTATATTTTCCTTTCATAATGTCATTCAATATTTCTATAAGCATAAAAAAACTTGAATCTCTTCCTGTGTTATTTATTATACCATCTGCTGGTTCCCGTTGAATTCATTAGAAAAATCATGCATTCTTTTGAAAGTAATATTTTTGCTACGTGCTAGTACCTGATCGAAAAGGGGGGGGGGGGTGGCGTTGCAAAAATATAAAAGTCACATAAGTTGAAAAATTTTGCATGCGACTTGTTTTGGCTTATAAATAGTCAGATATTAGGAAAATTTTCATAGTTTCTGATTAGCTTCGTAAAAAGAATGTTTTTGGGATCCACGTTGGTGCTCCTCCTCTTTTTTGGAAACTTTGGGTTAAAGGCCCTTCAAAATGTCGCGAAGCATCATAATTTAATATAATATCAGTCTCAAATCAAACTTGCATAGGTTTGAACTTTCTTTTCACTTTTGGATTTCTCGAAAGAGAAATGTGCTATTCGATATTCTTATTTTGATTTATTTAGCTACATTATTATCCCCGTGATGATAAAGTACGGCTATTTTACAAAGCTCTGTAAAAATCACATGCAATTCTGCTATTGTTCATTCCTGGCATGTGGGACAGCTTTTTCAAATCCCGTCAAATTGGAAGATTTCCGTTACACTGAGAAGATCAAATTACCATATGCTTCATGGTTGAAAGAAACAGTAGTCAGAAGACTAACGTTTTAACTTGAAGTATTCAATTTTTGAATATGCAAAAGAGAGTTCTTAGCTCTTCAAGGCGCAGAATCCTATGAATTTAAAAATTTCTATAATTCAAACTATTTCATATCTTAAATTCTCTTCGAAAATCTCGTGACAGGAAGGGCTAGGTTATGTGATTAATGTCGGCC